TTCTGGGAACTGTAGGCAGGGCGGTATGGCAGCTCCATTGTTCCCTATGGAATACCTCCCCCCCCCTAAGGACTACCAGGCTGGCATCCATTTTAAAATACACTGCTGCCTTTGCCTGCCAGCCATTTTGTCACAGATGCCAGAATGGAGCAGTGGAAACAAGAAGGCTCATTCTCTTTAGGTAGGGGAAGGATCTCTGATGTCACTGAGCTTTGGAGTCCTTTGGAAAGCGGTAAGAGTACTCCAAAGACCAACACTCTCATATAGCTGTAACTAGAAGAGGTGTCCCCCATCAACTGGGTTAGTGTATGGGCCAGACAGGCCCTTGGTAGGAAATTTAGTCCCAGGGTAGAGTAAAATATAGCTTGTCCTGTGATGTTTCTTACAGGTTCACACTGAAAAACCACCTGCTTTCTCCTGGATTAAATGTCTGCCTTTTTATCATAAACTGCTTTATAGGTGACCTTTTTCAAGCTCTTGGGCAACTTGTGAGTTTAGAATTTAATCAACAAATGTTGCTCTTCATCAGAATGAAAGGCTGTCTTTAATATATATATATATTTAAAATGCCCTATTTCATTTCCATATGAGGACCAAAATATTCTTTTTAAACAGTGCCCTTCCACTCCCACCTCTTAAAGCTTGCCCCCACCTCTTAAAGCTTGCCCCCTGCTGACTAATCCCCCTGAAGTCTTTGTTAATGTACTGAACAAGGTGCACAATTTGGGGGGGACAGGACATCTCTCTTATAAATAAAAGCCGAATGGTGGTGGCACTTCTCTAGAACATTCCACACGCTCCAAAATCAGTTCACTCTCTGATCTGTCATTCAGACGGTCTCCCTATCCACTGGCTGCTTTGCCTGAGTCCTGCCTCCAACATTCTAAACATTTTGCTGTTCCTCTCCCCCCCATAGCCAGTCAGAACACAGAGGTTATTTGCATATGCAGCCTCGTTGGCCTTTGCCTTGGAACACAGGGGTCGTTTGCATATGCGACTTGATTGGCTTTTGCCTCTAACATTCTAAACAGTTTGCTCTTCTGAGGTAAAATGTGTCTAATCTCCAGGTGAGGGCTGGAGATCACTCAGAATTACAACTGCTTTCCAGGCGGCAGAGATCAGTTCCCCTGGAGAAAATGGTGGGCTCTGTATCCTTATATGCTGCTGAGGTGGCCCCCATGACAGCCAATGTGACGTAGAAGTCAGGGCTTCAGAGCACGGGAGAGGCTGCAGGTGTGTGGGGGGTGGAAAGCTGAAGAGTGAGGGGGAAATAAAGGTAGGTTGATGATTGGAAGGAGATAGGGTTGCCAACTCCAGGTGGGAAATTCCTGGAGATGTGAGGGATGGAGCCTGGAGAGGGTGAGGTTTCAGGAGGCGTGGGACCTCGGACAGGTACAAAGCCATAGACTCCACCCTCCAAACCAACTATTCCCTTCTGGGGAACCATCGTTGCCAATCTCCAGGTGAGGGCTGGAGATCACTCAAAATTACAACTGTTCTTTAGGTAGCAGAGATCAGTTCCTCTGGAGAAAATGGTGGACTCAGTGTCATTATACCCTGCTGAGGTCACCACACCAAATTAACACTGAGTGTCCAAGGCCGGGGCACTTCTTTCTAGAGGCCGTTGTTTTTATTTCCACAACGGGCCTTTTTCCTAGTTTTGCAATATTTC